GCCGGTGCTTCGATATGCTTCGCTTCGTTTATTGTCAGAATCCCAACCACTAGACCATTGGGATAAAAGGGCTTGTTTTAGTAGCGGGTCAGTGCGCCCATAACCCCCCAGGCGAACGCGCCTGTAACCCTCTCCAGGATCAATCGGGCATCCACAGTGCAGATCTACTGACACCCCCTCACACTGGGAGGCCCAGGACTAAGCACAGCGGCAACGGCCTACATGTGCATACACCGGGAATCGAACCCGAGACCGCTCTGATACCATGTCAGAATCCCAACCACTAGACCGCTGCAACGTCTGCTCTTGTCGCTGAGCTCGTCGACTTTGCTGCTCGCTGTCGTCTAGACTACGCTGCTAGTCTTGTTGCTGAGTCTGCGTCTGTCTGTCCTCCGTCCGTCGGGGGTCTCAGAATCCCAACCACTAGACCATTGGGATAAAAGGGCTTGTTTCAGTAGCGGGTCAGTGCGCCCATAACCCCCCAGGCAAACGTGCCTGTAACCCTTCCCTAGGATCGATCGGGGATCACCAGTGGACCTCTGACACCCCCCCGCACTGGGATGCCCGAAGTGCATACACCGGGATTCGAACCCGAGACCTTCGCTCTGGATACCATCTCAGAATCCCAACCACTAGACCATTGGGATAAAAGGGCTTGTTTCAGTAGCGGGTCAGTGCGCCCATAACCCCCCAGGCAAACGTGCCTGTAACCCTTCCCTAGGATCGATCGGGGATCACCAGTGGACCTCTGACAGGGGGTGAGTGTGCTCTTGGCACGGACGTCCTAGAGGACAGGCAGGAGGAGTTCCAGTGTCTGGCTGCTGCTTCACATCATCTCGCGTCTGTACTGCTTGCTCCTGAGGGAGACCCGGATGCACTAGACATCCCGACTCCGCGCTCTTACGCGGAGGCCGTAGAGGGTCCCTACTCCTCTCAGTGGCAGGCAGCTATGGATGCAGAGATGGCTTCCTGGAAGTCCACAGGCACCTACGTTGACGCGGTTCCCCCTCCTGGGGCGAACATCGTTAGTGGCATGTGGATCTTCAGGGTGAAGCGGCCGCCGGGCTCTCCACCTGTCTTCAAGGCGCGGTACGTCGCTCGTGGCTTCAGTCAACGGCAGGGAGTTGACTACTTTCAGACCTTCTCTCCCACCCCGAAGATGACCACTCTTCGGGTGCTGCTGCACATAGCCGCTCAGCGCGACTACGAGCTTCACTCTCTCGACTTCAGTACTGCGTTCTTGCAGGGGAGCCTGCACGAGGAGATCTGGCTGCGCCGTCCACCTGGCTTCACTGGGACTTTCCCTCCTGGCACCCAGTGGAGCCTCCGACGGCCAGTCTACGGTCTCCGCCAGGCACCACGTGAGTGGCACGACACACTGAGGACTACGCTTGCGGCCCTTGGGTTTGCTCCTTCTACTGCTGACCCGTCGCTGTTTCTGCGCACCGACACTTCACTGCCGCCGTTCTACATCCTCGTGTACGTCGACGACTTGGTCTTTGCCACAGCGGACACTGCTGGACTCGCCTACGTGAAGTCCGAGCTGCTGAAGAGACACACGTGCACAGACCTGGGTGAACTGCGCAGCTACCTTGGCTTGCAGATCACTCGGGACAGAGCACGCCGCACCATTACCTTGACTCAGTCACACATGGTGCAGCAGGTCCTTCAGCGCTTCGGCTTCACGTAATCCTCGCCTCAGGCCACTCCTCTGTCTACTCGCCACTCGCTCTCAGCTCTGCCTTCGGATGAGTCCGTAGAGTTGAGTGGCCCGTACCCAGAGCTTGTTGGCTGCCTCATGTACCTGATGACCTGCACACGACCTGACCTTGCATACCCTCTTAGCATTCTTGCACGCTATGTTGCTCCTGGGAGACACCGACCAGAGCACATGGCTGCAGCGAAGAGGGTATTGCGCTACCTGTGCAGTACGTCGGGCATGGGGCTAGTGCTTGGAGGGCGGAGTCCAGTGGTACTTACAGGTCACGCGGACGCTTCTTGGGCTGACGACCAGGCTACGCAGCGGTCGTCACAGGGTTACACCTTCAGCCTTGGCTCCGGCTCTGTCTCGTGGCGGGCTACTCGCTCGTCTTCGGTTCTCAGCTCGAGTTGTGAGGCTGAGATCTACGCAGGGGCCATGGCTGCACAGGAGCTTCGCTGGCTCACCTACCTGCTGACTGACCTTGGAGAGCCGCCTCGTTCTCCTCCAGTGCTGTACGTAGACAACAAGGCCTTGCTCTTGTGCTCGGACTGTGTGGTGACTTTGTGATCCACCCTGAGCTTTGCTTTGCTTTGCTTGACTGGTCTTGTGACCCCTTGTTCTCCCCCACTTTGCCTATGGGGGTGTGTCAGAACATATATGTAGCTTATGCTGTTGTGTAGGCTACAGTGGGGTATCCCATAAGGGATACAACCCAATTAGGGTTTTGCCATTTTTGTACCCAACTCTTTCATAGTGCATTCATTCTCGTTCTATTTTCCACATTAATGCCTTTGTGTTTTGACACGATAGAGGCGCTTAAGATCGATTATTTCCAACAGAAACTCCCGCCAAAACAAAATGAGACCCAAAAAGAACCTGGATGCATTTTCGGATGACAAACCCTAAACACGTAACTCGCCAGGTGTTTAGGGTTGATCCGTTCCCAAACCGCAACCGATTCCGATTGGGTTTTAGTTTTTTGACAAGTTCGCAGATTGGTTGGGCACGAGCGGGAATTTTCTTGAGTTTCAAGTTTTTTTTGGCGGGAGTTACATGTGTGACCATTCGCGTGATTTTTTACCTGTTGTTAGTGACTGAATCCGTGACCCCGCTTACCAAACCCGTCAGAAAACCCGATACAGTGACCGTTCGCGTTTTGTTTTTACCATTCAAGTTATCAGTCCCAAGTTGGTTACTTGTGGCATATTTTCCCTTTATTATTTGAAGTGGTATAGCATTTCCTGGATGGTTCGTCAATTCAGCTCGCTGAGTCTGGTTTGGACAGGGCTGGAACCAGCCAATACCTGCGGGAAACCTGAATCTTTCGTTAGGTCAATGTAACGCTCAATACGACGCTGTGGCGAGAAAAATCAACTGCGAGTACGACAGAAAAGCTACCGATGCCCAATCACAGCAGCGACTTCCGTCGTACAGGGTAGCCGTCGGAGGAGGAAAACGGGGCGCCAGTGCGCCATGCCAAGAATGTAGCGTCGCAGCAGGGCTCAGCTCAATTCGCCTTGCTCACCTCACGTGCTCCTTGAGGCCGCTGCATGAATTGAGGGGAAGTACATGCCAGCTCCGTACCGTAGTTTGACTTGAAGCAGTTTCAGGGGGTGTCCAGCTCGTCCATTTACTGCTCGTAAAGCCCTTCAGTTACCACAATTTGCGTTGTAACACTGAGTTTTACAAAAATGCCAGACACGATCAGCTCCCGTTCACGATACGGCACACCCCCTACACGTACCTCGAATCGTGTGACGCACGTTACAGGAATCAGCGTGCGCATCAAACAATGGTACAGAACCGCGTCCTGCCCACTACAGTGAGTGCCCATCGTATCGCGCGCTTGATTTCGCATGCGCCGCCTGACACTCGCCAAAACCTTTAGTGGAAGTGTTGGCCTGGCGAAAATTCTAACGCTTTGGTTGAAGAGGGAACTGGTTACCTTGGTTGCCACACGGCCCCTGCACTGCTGAAGTCTGTGTGGGGGGATGGTGTCCGTGCGCCAGAATGACAGAAAGGGTGGAGCAAGGCCGGTTCGTTTATAGGTACAGTGTTCAGTTTTGAACCCCGGATCGTGAGGAGGTACTAGATTTCCCGAAATGAACGAGCTGGACATGCCCTCAGCAATCATTGCAGCCAGTCCTAGTACCAGCTAGTGAAGGCATATATGTTCCATTGCCAAGCGTGTCATTGTGTTCATCAACCAGTGTAACAGCTTCTTGTCCGAGTTTATTACTCTAGACATGCCACAGATTACCCTGACTTCATTACTCTAAATATACGTCAACTACAATTTCGCGTTCCCAGTTCCTCCAGCAGACACACGCAGAACTCACCGAGTCAAGCCACGAAATGTTCGTCAATTCAGCGAATCCGACAAGATTATCACCCTCCTTTTACCGCTTCGCGGCGAGTCGTCCACCTGCCGTCATCGCGTCGCGCCCGTCGCGCGGCATGGACGGCGATGATGGCGTTGCGTGCTGTGGGTGCTTCGGTGCGACGCCCTCGAAGCGCTCGGCTGTGCGCGGGAATGGCGCAGGTCGGTTATGGCCTGATTGCATGTAGCGAGATCTTTCTCACTAGTAGTGATGCGGCGAGCTCGGCGAGAGCTCTTCGTGGCGTGAGCCATAGTGCTACCGAAGATAAACCATTCCTGCGTTTCGAGGTTTTTTTTTTTTTTTTTTTTTGCGTTTCTCGTGCCCCAGTTTGACCCTTTTTATCCCGTTGCACGTGGTGCTCGGGTGGAACACGAGTCCTTTGGGAAATTATGGTTTGCGAAACTCAGACATCTTGCTCGATCACACCCCAAGCGAGATGCAGCAGGCTCCGACTTCCACGTTTCCACGAAGTACAGAAAGCGTTACGACTGTTGGTTTGTCGTCGTAGTAGGTTCGCTGATAGCAGCAGGTTCCGACCCAAACGATGTGACTTCTGAGGTGACTTTTGAGGCGAATCAAAGGTCCCGACGCGAACAAAGCGAGCCTTCTCCGAAGCCTCAGAGTCAGATTTGTACCGTGAGACGTGGCGAGCCTCATAGCCTCAGAAGGAATCGTAGCGCGCGAGACGCGGCGAGCCACGTTTGCTGCAGCGCGTGAGACGCGTCGACACGGCGCGGTTGTAGTGAGTGAGACCCACCCAACAGCTGTTCCGGCTTTCTCTCCCGTCCTACGCTCACGCAACGAATTCTCCTCCCGTCTTTCCTCTTATAGCGAGAGCGGGATGCAGCAGGCGGCGGGGTATTCTCAAGCAAGCTGACTTGTGAGTCGACTCAAAAGTCAGGCAGCGGGGTATTCTCATGCACCCCTTTTGTGCAGCTAGGCCCCTCTCTCCTCCATGCCTTCTTTATCTCTTCCCTCTCCCCCAATCCAGTCCCTGTTTCCTCTTTTCCTCACCCCACCCCTCTCTTCCCAAACCCCTGTGTCCCCATCAGCGCACAGCCAGCCTTCCGCCTGCCCCCCTCCCCTGCGTCGTTCCTCCTACCGCATCTCTGCTGCTGGAGGGCCAAACTCTCTTCCTCTCCCCCTTTCTCCTCCCTCTCTTCTCCCTCTCTTCTCCCTCTCTCCTCCCTCTCTTCTCCCTCTCTCCTCCCTCTCTTCTCCCTCTCTTCTCCCTCTCTTCTCCCTCTCTTCACACCCTACCCCCTTTACCCGATTGCCCAAACACGCCCCCTCCCACCTCCCTCCACCCCATCCCTTACTCTCCCCCTCTTTTCAACGCGGCCCTGCAGCTGGGTAAGGGCAGGGCCTTACTCTCCCCCTCTTTTCTCCCTCCCTCACATGCCTACCCCCTTAGCCCTCTCTGCAGCTGCGCAAGGCCCTTCCTCCAACCCTCATCCTCTGCGCTGCTTCTCCTATCGCGAGCTACAGCAGGCGGCTGGGTACTGGGCAACGCGTCCCTGCAGCGGGGCAAGGCAAGGGCCTTACTCTCCCCCACTCTCCCTCTTTTTTCTCCCTCCCAGCGGGGCAAGGGTCTTCCTCCAACCCTCCTCCCCTGCGCCGCTTCTCCTATCACGAGCTGCAGCAGGCGGCGGGCGGGGTACTTCAACGCGCCGACCCTGCAGCTGGGGAAGGCAAGGGCCTTACCCTCTCCCTCTCTTCTCCCTCCCGGCTGCAGCTGGGGAAGGCAAGGGCCTTACCCTCTCCCTCTCTTCTCCCTCCCGGCTGCAGCTGGGGAAGGCAAGGGCCTTACCCTCTCCCTCTCTTCTCCCTCCCGGCTGCAGCTGGGGAAGGCAAGGGCCTTACCCTCTCCCTCTCTTCTCCCTCCCGGCTGCAGCTGGGGAAGGCAAGGGCCTTACCCTCTCCCTCTCTTCTCCCTCCCGGCTGCAGCTGGGGAAGGCAAGGGCCTTACCCTCTCCCTCTCTTCTCCCTCCCGGCTGCAGCAGCGGGGCAATGGCCTTCCTCCGGCCCGCCTCCTCTGCGGCGCTTCTCCTACCGCGAGCAACAGCAGGCAGCGGGGTACTCCAACGCGTCTTTGCAGCTGGGCGCTCTCACCTTTTTCCACACACAACCCAACCCTCCTTCCCCCCCCTTCTGTGTCACCCCTCAGCACACGGCCAGCCTTCCTCCGGCCCTCCTCCTCTGCGGCGCTTCTCCTACCGCGAGCTACAGCAGGCAGCGGGGTATTTCAATGCATCCCTGCAGCTGGGCAAGGGCAGCTTCGGGACTATTTTTCGCGGGCAGGTGGACGAGTGGTTGGGAGAGCTGCCACGTGGCAGCAAGAGAGAGGTAGCAGTGAAGGTGCTTCACACGGAAAGCGTGAAGGCGTTTGACGACTGCCTGGTGAGGGAGGGAGGAGACAGAAGGGGAGAGGAGGGGAGCATGGGCTTGGGGTAAGGAGAGGTGTGGCAGTGAAGGTGCGTGCTTCACACGGCGAGCATCAAGGCGTTTGATGACTGCCTGGTGAGAGGCGAGGCGTGGGGGGGGGGGTTGAGGATGAGCGAGAATGGAGTGATGGGCGTGGGGGAATGGAAGAGGTGGTGGTGAAGGTGCTTCATGCGGAGAGCGTGAAGGCGTTTGACGACTGCGTGGTGAGGGGAGAGAGTGTAATGAGTGATTGGGTAGGGAGGGAGGAATGAGGCAACGGAGGGATGTGCTTGGAGGTGTGGGTGGCGGTGAAAGTGCTTCACACGGAGCGCGTGAAGGCGTTTGACGACTGCCTGGTGAGAGGCAGGCGGGGGAAGGCGTTAGGAGAGTGAGTTACAGGGTGGGGGAGAGGGGGGGAGAGGGAAGAGGATGGGTTTGAGAAGATGGGATGAGAGAGAGGTGGCGGGGCAGTGAAGGTGCTTCACACTGACAGCGTGAAGGCGTTTGACGATTGCCTGGTGAGCCACTGAGAAAGGAGGAGTGAGAAAAGGGGTGAGCAAAGGGACATGGAACGGAGTGAGTAAGTAGGGAGGAGTGAGGAACGTGTGAGTTAGTATTTTGTCTATTTTGCGGGGCAGAAGGGAAGAGAATGGGGAAGGGGGGGAGGGAGAGGAAGGGAAGGGGATGTGCTTGAGGGAATGGGAGGGGTTGCTGTGTGAAGGTGCTTCACACTGACAGCATGAAGGCGTTTGACGATTACCTGGTGAGATGCCAGGCCAGGCAAAGGCGAGGCCAGGCAAAGGCGAGGCCAGGCAAAAGCGAGGCCAGGCAAAGGCGAGGCCAGGCAAAGGCGAGGCCAGGCAAAGGCGAGGCCAGGCAAAGGCGAGGCCAGGCAAAGGCGAGGCCAGGCAAAGGCGAGGCCAGGCAAAGGCGAGGCCAGGCAAAGGCGAGGCCAGGCAAAGGCGAGGCCAGGCAAAGGAGTCATTGAGTCGAAAGGTGATCACATATAATCTATCCACCCACCCACCCACCCTACTGCCCATTTCACGTGTCCCCTTGAGTCCCTAAGGTCGTGTCCCTCGCTAGTGTCAAGATACTGTTGGTGCCAAGCGGGAAATTCGCTTGACACCAGGTGGAGCTGCGCTCATGCGCGGCTCCAGGTTGGTGCCAATGTTGCCAACATTGTGCCAACTTCCCGAGCCATCCCAAGCTGACACCAGGAGGTTTAGTCCTCCATGCGTTTTCCGAGTTTGTGTCATGACACTAACCACTCTTGACACTAGCCAGGGATACGATCTAAATACCCCAATCAGGTGCACCTGTTATCCCTAGATACTGCATGTGAGGTGGCAATGGTGCACTTCTCTCCCCCCATTCCGCGTCCTTCACCCCACAGGTGCAGATCCTCCTCATGCTGGGAATCCTTAAACCACCCCAACCTGCTGCAGCTGCTTCTCCTACTCATCCCCACACCGTTTCGCCCCCCCCTACCATGCGTTCTTCACTGCACACGCGGAGATCCTAGTGCTGGGCAATCTGCGACACCCCAACCTGGTGCAGCTGTTGGGGTACTGCATGGAGGACTGCAGTGCTGCGCTCCTCTCCCTCACACCCCCATTTCTATTCCTTTCGTCTCCAACACGCATACCCATTCCTCTCCCTCTCCCCCCACCACAGGCGGAGATCCTAGTGCTGGGCGATCTGAGACACCCCAACCTGGTGCAGCTGTTGGGGTACTGCATGGAGGACAGCCGGGCGATTCTGGTGTATGAGCTGGTGGAGCGAGGCGACCTGCACCACTGGCTGCACCCCAACAGTGAGTGAGAGGACGAAGAGGGCGGTGGGAGGGATTGCATATCTTCTAAGACGATGCATGTCTTCAGCACCCGGGAATAAAAAAAAGATAAGGAAAAAAAAAAACATAGAGAGCAAAATTGCATGTGCCAGCCGGGAATCGAACCCGGGTCTGCACCGAGCTCATGGCAGGGTGCTATTCTACCACTAGACCACTGGCACGCTTTTGGATGCATGATGACGTTATGGTAGGATTGTACAACATGCACTGGCTCTTTGACGTTGCATCTGAGAGACTTCTTGGGTGGTGTGTGCACGTCCTTCCCCTTGGGTTAGGAATTGCACGTCCGACCAATTCCTAACTACCTCTTTTCGTCCCCTTCCCCGCCCTCCCCCACCCTTGTCAATCCTCCCCACCACACTCACCACTGCCCCAGACCTCTCTCCGGACAGCCCGTGCCTGACGTGGGAGCAGCCCTCGAAAGTGGCAGGTGGGTATGAGCGAGGCCTTGCGTTTGGCGTATCCGATGTCAACAAATTTCCCCTTCCTTGTTTCCCCTCCACCTCAACTTTCCCCTCCACCTCAACTTTCCTGGACAGCCCGTGCCTGACATGGGAACAGCGAGCGCAGGTGCCAGAGAGTGTGGTGGAGGGCATGGCACATCACATTTGCTTCTAGCCAAATCCAGCTGCCATCCTTCCCCAACCCCTCTCCTCCCACCCATCTTATCAATCCCTTCTTCGTCACCCAAGACCTCTCCCCGGACAGCCCGTGCCTGACATGGGAGCAGCGCGTGCACGTGGCAGTGGGCATGGCGGAGGGCATGGCATATCTGCACGGGCAGAACATCATTCACCGCGACTTCAAGTCCCATAATGTCATGCTGGACCATGTAAGTTGTAGGGGGGTGTAGGTGAGTTTTGAAGGGAAACCACCCGTGAAATTGGCTAAGCTTTTCAGGTCCATACTTTGTCTCTGGGTGATGTAAGTGGGAGGAAAAGTTGCTGGGGAGAACGCAGTGTGCGGTACCGTTTGTGGGATGGTAAATACCTTACTACGAGTAGTGTGCCTTTATATGTGCGGGGGGTCTCTACATGGGCATTCATAGGGCTACATTGTAATGGGCATCTCTTGAGTCAACTGCAATGACACATCGTTACTTTTGAGTCGACTTAAAACTGTCCACCAGCTTTACCACCAGCCTTAGCATGGCAGGCAACATGGGGTCTGAAGGAAACTTTTGAGGCGCCTCAAAAGGCAACATGGGGTCTGAAGGAAACTTTTGAGGCGCCTCAAAAGGCAACATGGGGTCTGAAGGAAACTTTTGAGGCGCCTCAAAAGGCAACATGGGGTCTGAAGGAAACTTTTGAGGCGCCTCAAAAGGCAACATGGGGTCTGAAGGAAACTTTTGAGGCGCCTCAAAAGGCAACATGGGGTCTGAAGGAAACTTTTGAGGCGCCTCAAAAGGCAACATGGGGTCTGAAGGAAACTGAGACTCAGCATCTGCTGCACAGCTTCCGCCCTTTCCCTCCCTTCATATCTAATTTGGCAGGAGTTGAAAGCGAAGGTGGCGGATTTCGGCATGGCCACATAAATAGCTTAAATTCCACCTTAATCACCCCCTCCCTCCCCCCCCCCGCCCCCCCCCGCCCCCGCCCCCTCCTCCCATCTCCCCTCCCATATCTATCTTGGCAGGAATTAAGGGCAAAGGTAACCGATTTTGGCATGGCTACACGGGGACCGGAGGAGGGGAAGACGCACGTTTCGACTCGCATCATGGGCACCCTGGGGTACCTCGACCCTGACTACATCTACACAGGTGGGGAGGGATTCAGTGCGGTGCAGTGCGGTGCAGATGGATTAAGATGGATTGTGGGGTAGTGAGCGGCAAGACGCACGTGTCAACTCGCATCATGGGCACCCTACTTCGACCCTGACTATATCGATACAGGTGTGGAGGCTTGTAACGAGGATATGACTTGTGCGTGTGGGGTATGGAGGGGAGGAGGGCGTGAGGCACGTATCGACTCGCATCATGGGTACCCTGGGCTAGGGTACCTTGACCCTGATTATTTCGGCACAGGTGGGGAGGCCTGTAAATTGTTTGTGGTCCTTGTTGTTCGGGTATCACCACTACACACAACCGCCCCTTCCTCCCCCACTTCCTCTCCACTGCACACAACCGCTCTTCCCTCCCGCACTTCCCCTCCACTACCCGCAACTGCCTCTTTCCTCCCTGAATCCCCATCCCCCCTTCCTCGTCCCCTCTCCCACCTCTCCCTCTTCTCCCTTCGTCTCCCCGTCCCCTCACGTGCATCAACCCACTCATCCTCCCCCACCACCCCCAGGTCACCTCACCCCCCTGAGCGATGTGTTCTCCCTGGGTGTGGTTCTGCTCGACCTGCTCACTGGTTGAGGTGACTTGACTCTAGAGGCACTTCACCCCTCCTCCCCCCCCCCCCACCCCACTCAGGTCACCTCACCCCCCTGAGCGATGTCTTCTCCCTCAGGGTATTGTTCTGCTCACTGTACCCCTCCTCTCCCCTCCTCTCCCCTTCTTGTGTTCTTGTGCCTCTCCTCCGCGAGTCACCCCCCTATCCCCTCTTCCCCACCCCCACGTCACCTCACCCCGCTGAGCGATGTCTTCTCTCTGGGCGTGGTTCTCCTCGAGCTGCTCACCTGCTCCCGCTCCCCCTTTTTCTCACCCCCTCCTGTGCGTCACCGCCCCTCCAGGCCACCTCACCCTGCTGAGCGATGTCTTCTCTCTGGGCGTGGTTCTCCTCGAGCTGCTCACCTGCTCCCGCTCCCCCTTTTTCTCACCCCCTCCTGTGCGTCACCGCCCCTCCAGGCCACCTCACCCCGCTGAGCGATGTCTTCTCTCTGGGCGTGGTTCTCCTCGAGCTGCTCACCTGCTCCCGCTCCCCCTTTTTCTCACCCTCTCCTGTGCGTCACCGCCCCTCCAGGCCACCTCACCCCGCTGAGCGATGTCTTCTCTCTGGGCGTGGTTCTCCTCGAGCTGCTCACCTGCTCCCGCTCCCCCTTTTTCTCACCCCCTCCTGTGCGTCACCGCCCCTCCAGGCCACCTCACCCCGCTGAGCGATGTCTTCTCTCTGGGCGTGGTTCTCCTCGAGCTGCTCACCTGCTCCCGCTCCCCCTTTTTCTCACCCTCTCCTGTGCGTCACCGCCCCTCCAGGCCACCTCACCCCGCTGAGCGATGTCTTCTCTCTGGGCGTGGTTCTCCTCGAGCTGCTCACCTGCTCCCGCTCCCCCTTTTTCTCACCCCCTCCTGTGCGTCACCGCCCCTCCAGGCCACCTCACCCCGCTGAGCGATGTCTTCTCTCTGGGCGTGGTTCTCCTCGAGCTGCTCACCTGCTCCCGCTCCCCCTTTTTCTCACCCTCTCCTGTGCGTCACCGCCCCTCCAGGCCACCTCACCCCGCTGAGCGATGTCTTCTCTCTGGGCGTGGTTCTCCTCGAGCTGCTCACCTGCTCCCGCTCCCCCTTTTTCTCACCCCCTCCTGTGCGTCACCGCCCCTCCAGGCCACCTCACCCCGCTGAGCGATGTCTTCTCTCTGGGCGTGGTTCTCCTCGAGCTGCTCACCTGCTCCCGCTCCCCCTTTTTCTCACCCCCTCCTGTGCGTCACCGCCCCTCCAGGCCACCTCACCCCGCTGAGCGATGCCTTCTCTCTGGGCGTGGTTCTCCTCGAGCTGCTCACCTGCTCCCGCTCCCCCTTTTTCTCACCCTCTCCTGTGCGTCACCGCCCCTCCAGGCCACCTCACCCCCGCTGAGCGATGTCTTCTCTCTGGGCGTTGTGCTGCTCGAGCTGCTCACCGGCCAGTTCCCCACCACTGCTGCCACCCACAACCGCCTCTTCTTCCCCTCCACTACGCACACCCATCCCATTCCCCCCCCTCTCTCCTGGCCACCTCACCCCCCTAATCAATGTCTTCTCCCTGGGCGTTGTTCTCCTCAAGTCGCTCACCGCTCCCTGCATGCTTCACCCCCTCAACCCCTCCCCACTCTCAGGTCACCTCACCCTGCTCAGCAATGTCTTCTATCTGGGCGTAGTGCTTCTCACCCACTCCCACTTCCCCTCCTTGTCACCCTCTCCCATGCATCGCCAACCACCAGGTCACCTCACCCCGCTCAGCGATGTCTTCTCTCTGGGCGTGGTCCTCCTCGAGCTGCTCACCGGCCGATCCCCTGCCACCACCGCCACACACAACCGCCTCTTCCCCTGGATCCACAAGCAGCTGGCGCGAGGTAGAAAAGGGGGGGGAGGGGGAGACTCAGCATCAGCAGCAGCGGCAGCAGCAGAAGCGGGAGGAGCGGGTAATGAAGGGCAACAGCAACAGCAGCAGGGGCAGCAGCAGGAGGGGAGGAAGGCGGATGGGTTTCATATAAGCCAAGTGGTGGATCCACGGCTGAAGGGGCAGTTCTCAGCGGGTGCAGCGAAGAAGCTGCTGCTGGTGGCGCTGCAATGCAGTCAAGAGGAGCCCAGCAAGCGACCCGACATGAACCATGTGGTGGAGAGGTTAAGGGAGATCGCTGCCTCTGGGGTGGGGAAAGGAGGGGCGCGAAGGGTGGAAGGAGGAGGAGCAGGAGTGCAAGGGATGGCAGGCGGAGTGGCAGTAGTGGCAGCGGTAGGAGTTTAATTATAGGTAACGGGCAGTTTTCGGCTGGAAGAGGCTGCTGCTGGTGGCGTTGCAGTGCAGCCAGGAGGAGCTGAGCAAGTGGCCTGAGATGAACCGTTTGGTGCAGAGACTAAGGGAGATTGCTGCTGCAGGTGGGGCGCAAAGAGTGGAAGGGGGAGGAACAGAAGGCGCAGGAGTGGAAGGGGTGGCAGTGGCAGGGGTAGGAGTGTAGATGTAGGAAACGGGCAGTATACAGCGACTGCAGCGAAGGGTTGCTGCTGGTGGCTCTGCAGTGCAGCCAAGAGGAGCCGAGAAGTGATTGAGGGAGATCGCTGCTGCTGGGGGAGGAGCAGGATTGCAAAGGGTAGGAGGGGAAGAAGCAGGAGGGTAAGAAATAGGAGGACGAGTAGGGCAAGGGATGGCAGCGGAGGGGGAGGGGGTAGTGCCTGGGGCAGGGAAAAGGATGGCGGGGGTAGGAGTGTAGGTGTAGAAACTAGCTTTGGCTACCACAAGGAGGTCAGCATCAGCCCTCCCATGCGGAGGTGAGGTGGCACTGCAGTCACGTGGCACTGCAGTCACGTGGCACTGCAGTCACGTGGCACTGCAGTCACGTGACACTGCAGTCACGTGGCACTGCAGTCATGTGGCACTGCAGTCAAGTGGCACTGCAGTCACGTGGCACTGTAGTCACGTGGCACTGCAGTCGAATGGCATGAACCAATCAGCATTGGGCATGTAAAAAAATCACATACAGCACGGCAGAACCATTTATACATCATGTCAAACCCACCCGTACGGCCCGGCACAGCAGCATGATGGTAGGGCGTGGCACCATTGTAAATCAGGGGGGAATCAGCACAGGATGGCATTGGGAAAGGCGGGGGGAGAGCCGGGCCTTGTAGGACGGGATGGGGAGGTTTATAGGGCGGTTGAGTGGCATGGAACCAACAGCCAAGGAGAGGAGTTTGGGGGAAGGGAGAGGGAGGGGCTCCTTAGTGGGTGATACGGTCATTTTTTCAGTGGGTAGTACCAGTACATTTCCCACTTATCCGCATCATGCTCTGCGGTTGCTTTTGTGCCCGTACGTAGGGTAGGCCATGGAAGCAGTCGTGGTAGTTGGAATGGAAGAGAAGTTGTAGAGTGCAGGTGGAATTATGAATTCGGTAGTTTTTTTAATAGATTTGTCTTGTGCATCAGAGCGTGAGACACTAGCAGCTTACAGCAAGCAACGTTCAAGGACTTGTGCATTGATACATTGCGAATGCAATCTGCCTTTGTACCAGTAACATTGGAAGAACCTTGATAGCACTATTTTTGTTATCAACTTATAGCCATGAGTGGCAGACACTAACTGCAGCTTAGCACCGTATTTCCGGGCCTTGAACAAATATGGTGGATTGTGTAGGTGGAATAATTAGCATCAATGTACCGGATTGCCCTTCTACTTATATCGTATGGCATCGGATTCCATCGGTGTATTGTTATCTTGCTTTCAAGAAAGCGGCGAGTCTTCTCTTAGGGCATGGAACATCCTCGAAACAGCTACTGTAGATCGATGCGAATCAACGCATCTGCTGAAATGCGACACCGGCCGAGCTCCATCCAAGCTGCTAGTAGAAATAAAAGCGGTTTCACTTGACTACTGGCGATGCACGCGCGTATCGAATAGCGACGCTGCTTTCACGTGATATCAGGCGCTTCTTTTGCCGCGCTCTCTTCGTGGGCTTTCCGATCTCGAAGATTTGAAAGCGCTTCGGCCATGTCGACCGCGATAAACGCGCGTATCGACTACTGGTGACGCTGCTTCAGTGTGATCTCACGGACCTTCTTTCCAACGATCCCAACATTCATTCTCATCCCCATAATTTCGATCACGGTTGAAAGAGCTTAGGCCATGTCGCCCGCGATAAACGCGGAGGGAAGGAAGCGGTGCGAGAGGATCGGGTGTGACGTGTATTTCACGGACGCAGAAAACGACGACACGAGCTGCTGCTACCACCCAGGGGTAAATACACTCACACGCGCTTTGACTTATGAGGTGATAGACCTTCTTAACCAGGGTTAAAGCAGTCGCGCGTGCCTCTTGTCCCGTCTCAAGAGGCTCTGACGGCCTTGTACGCGAGTTTCTGTGTCGTGCTGCTGAATTCACCCTGCGTTATGAGTGATCTGCCCCGTCGCTTGTCTCGGCGCGCACCACTTTCCCCGTCGCATGCTCATCGCATCACATGCGCCGTCGCATGCCCATCGCATCACATGCCCATCGCATCACATGCCCATCGCATCGCATGCCCATCGCATCGCATGCCCATCGCATCGTATGCCCATCGCATCACATGTCCATCGCATCACATGGGCCATCGCATCGCATGCCCATCGCATCGCATGCCCATCGCATCGCATGCCCATCGCATCGCATGCCCATCGCATCGCATGCCCATCGCATCATATGCCCATCGCATCACATGCCCATCGCATCACATGCTCCGTCGCAACACCCATCGCACATGCACCGTTCTTGAATCCTGCACCATTTGCCTGATTCACCTCATCTTTTATCTCCAATCTAGGTGACTTTGAGTCGACTCAAAAGTTACCTCATGCACCATTCCTGGATCCTGCACCATTTGCCTATTCACCTCATCGTTTCTATCCAGTCTAGGTGACTTTGGAGTCGACTAAATCTGCACCGTTCCAGTCACCTCAAGCACCGTTCCTGGATCCTGCACCGTTTGCCTAATCACCTCATTATTTTTCTCCAATCTTCCTTCTCCCTTCTTCATGCTCTACTCATTCCACCCCATGCCCCATCGCATCCCCCATCGTACCACATGCCCCATTCTTCTACGCATGTAATCCACCTTTTCTCTATCCGTTCTTCCTCCCCCCCTGCCGACGCCGCATGGGGTGTATGGGTTGAAATTCATGGCGTCACGGCTGGGTTGGCATTCATGGTTTGATCGGCCCACAACAACACATCCTGCTGACATCGGCCCACAACAACACATCCTGTTGACACCAACTCTCGCATCAGCCGGTATGCTCTTCAGTGGATGCACGGATGAGTGGATGATGCGAGCTGAAGAGATGGGCGGTAGATGAAGAGAACTAAGCGAGTGAAGAGGTGAAGAGAGGAAGAGATGGACGGATGATGAGAGATGGCGAGACAAAGAGATGAAGTATATCGAGATGCTTTTATTAAGAAAATCGACGAGATCAGGAGATCGGCAGATGGTCGATGGCAGATAGGCAAATGAGCTGGTGGCATATCTCTAGATTGAGGGATACTAGTTCCCCCTCGTCTCTCTTGACCAATTCTTCTTTCCTTCCCATTCTACGACGGCACGAAGGAGTGGACGTGCTGTTAACAGCGAAGCCTACAGTTCTGACTCACTCTCTGCTCCCGCTCCCTCTCCCCCCTCCGCTCCCACCTCTCAGCCAGTATTCCACGACGGCACAAGGAGTGGTTGTACTGCCACAATCAGCAAAGCCTGAGCGTCTGAGTCACGCCTTCCACACCCACTCCTCCTCCCACCTCTCAGCCAGTATTCCACGACGGCACCAAGGAGTGGAAGTGCTGCCAGCAGCAAAGCCTGCAGTTCTGAGTCACTCTCTGCTCCCTCTCCCTCTCCTCCCACACCCCTTTCTCAGCCAATTTTCCACAACGGCACCAAGGAGTGGATGTGCTGCCACAAGCGAAGCCACGATTTCTCGCTATTCCTCTCCATTCCAGGGTAACGCATCGCATGCAAGCAATCGAATTCACACCAGGGTAATGCATGCGATTCATTCCAGCATACCTTGATACCTGTGCGTGATTTTGTCCTTTCTGCATGCCTGCCCTGCCGCCCTCTTCTCTGCCTACGCGTGTCTCTTTTCATTTTTGCTTTAGAGTAACTATTTGACTGTGCTTGGTATATATTCCCTGTTGATTCACGCAGCATCTTTGTTCCCAACCTTCTGCTCGTGCCTTGCCCCTTCCCTCTGGGTTCCTTTACAGCTGCAAGCGAGGCAAGCACACCACTGAGAAACCCAAACCAATCACCCCTGCAGCACCAGCACCAGCACCACCGACGCCATCCCCTGTTCGAGGAGCAGGAGCGACAGCAGAGGCAGCAACCGCGACAACAGCACCATCAGCAGCAGCAGCAGCAGCAGAAGCATCATCGGTGCAGCAGCAAGCAGCATGCAATCGGTGCTCTCAGGGCTTCTTCTGTTCTGATCACAGTGCACCGCAAGGTGAGTTACATGGGCATGTGTTGTGCTGGTGCATGCGATCATTATCTTGGTATGCTAGGTGACTTGTGTTTCCCTCATAAGACAGTTACTTCAAGAAAATCATTCAATTCTTCTAGCAACGTGGAGTTGCAGCAAACTTCATGCACAATGTGGGAAGTGTTGGGGAATGTGGATATGTGCGGTTGTAGGGAGTTTTTACCTTCAACAGAGGAGGTTTTAGAGACATTTTCAGATGTGCAGTAGTTGATAACAATGCACCTTTTCGATGACACCCAACACGTTCTACCTTAACTCTTATTCTCGGTGTTTGATGATTTACGGGCTGTAAGTTTGAAACAACCATTCTTGTAGCTAAGCACGAATTATGGTTGTTATGAACTTACAGCTCGTAGCTCATCGAACATCGAAAAGAAAAGGTAGGGTAGAGATTGTCGGGTGTTATCGAGGAGGTGCACCGTCACCAACTGCTGCACATCCAAAATTATCCCTAGAACCTCCTATGTTAGATGTTCGATTGCCAGTCGATTCTATTGGCTGTAGAATCCATTCAAATTCGATTGCCACTCGATTCTATTAGCTGTTTGATACCTCAACAACTTCACTCCCTCTCTCCCCTCCCTACACTACACCCTGCAGCTTCATCTGCTGCTGCTCCCCCCCAGCCCTCCCGACCGCCGTCGTGGGACATCAATGTGGAGCGCACGTGCAGCAACAAGGGGTGTGGCGCCAAGTACCGGGAGATTGACAACAGCGATGGCGCCTGCAAGCACCACCCAGGGCCTGCTGTTTTCCGCGACAGAAAGCGAGGGGTGCGTTCAGGGTTGTGGGGGGTATTTGAAGTACAGGGTTTAAGAGGGCGTATTGTGCAGCAACAAGGGGTGTGGCGCCAAGTACCGGGAGATTGACAACAGCGATGGCGCATGCAAGCACCTCCTGGGACCCGCTGTTGACTTTTGAGTCGACTCAAAAGTCATCTGGGACCCGCTGTTTTCCACGACAGAAAGTGAGGGGTGTGTTGAGGGTGGCGGGGTGTGTTGAGGTTGGGGGGGGTGTGTTGAGGTTGGGGGGGGTGTGTTGAGGTTGGGGGGGGTGTGTTGAGGTTGGGGGGGTGTGTTGAGGGTGGTGGCGCGAGTTGAGGGTGCAGGGGTAAGTGCATTTTGAAGGGGTGAGTCCGTTCAGTGAAGGGAGGGGTGACCTTGAACAGGAGGCAAGTGAGGTGCGAGTGTGCGAGGATATGTTTGTTGCGCTGCATGCCTTTGTAAGTGAGGTGTAAGCACAATACTCGGACAAGTTGTGACACTTGGAAAAGAGATAAGCAATGGGTTGGTCACATCATCAAGTGCAGTAAGCACATAAATTGGAGTGTGCGAGTGGATTGCTGGTAAGTAGCCTTAGTCACCCTTCCTCGTCTGCTCATGCTCATGCCCATGCTCTCACCCACCACTCCTTTCCCCACCTCTGCACCTGTTCGCTTTTTCCCAATGGCAATGCTGCAGAGTAGCTGTGAGTAATTTATAGTGAGTTCCTTGCCGTTCCTTCTGTGCCAATCCTGGTGCTTACACCCATCATCGTGCTTCCACCCCTTCATTCCCCCCCTTCCCCTCTCCCTCCATCCATTTCTTCTCCAGTGGCAATGCTTCGGAGTATGTGTGAATGATTTTGATGAGTACCTTTCTGTTTCCTTTCTCCTCTGCCCATCCCGGTGCTCACACCCATCATCATGCTTCCACTCCTCCTACCCGTCCACCAGTCTCTTCTTTTCCAGTGGCAATGCTGCGGAGTATTTGTGAATGATTTTGATGAGTTCATTGCCGTTCCTTCGTTCACAAGCCACCTCCCCCACCTCCCCTCCACCCCCTCTCCTTCCCCCACCCGTGTCTTCTTTTCCAGTGGCAATGCTGCGGCGTATTTGTGAACGATTTTGACGAGTTCATTGCCGTGCCGCCATGTGCTACTGGCTGGCACTCTGACGAGGTGTAGACACAGTATTGCTGTAGTTGCTGCCTTTATCAGCCTCATTGGGCTTGAATTGAATCAGATTCGATTTGGGGCTGTCTGATTCGTCAGACTTAGTACAAATTTATAGTCCGATTAATCAGACTTGGTCCAGAAAAAAACTCTGAAATTTCAGAGTTCAAGAGTATAAAAGTCTGATTACACAGAGTTCACATTAATAGGGAAGCTGATGGATCAGCCTAAAGCGAGGTGGTGATTGCGCCGCGCGACACCGCTGTCACTGTTTCAGCTTGACTGACAGGACTGAACTGTACCTGCAGCGCTCATCGCGGCTGTTAGTGCAGGAATACTAGAGTAGGAAAACGCTCATGGATCAGAGTACACTCTGAGAAAAAGGCTGAAAAATCAGACAAGGCCTACATTTTTTTTTTTTCCGAATATTCAGAGTTCACAGCAAAAAGAACTCTGAACTTTCAGAGTTCACTAAAAAAAAGGCTGAAATATCAGACTTTTTAAGGAAAATCAGATAAATTTCTCTGACTTCTGGGGGCCTGATCATACCGTACCGTTCGGAATTTTTATTATTTTTTCGATTTATTTCATGTCATGTGCCCTTCCTCTGCCATGTTGACTCCATTGTGTGAGGTAACAAAGCTGTGTTGGCCCTTGAAGATGAATTCAGGTACTTGCAATGCAGTGCGGTGTTGCTGGAACAGTGTGAGGTAGTTCTTTTAGGAGATTCACCAATGTTGGCAATGATATGGTTAAGTTCTACAAATTGTGTACCTACAAGGAGTACAACAAATGATCATTTATAATATTATGTGCTGGTTACCACATAGAATCAAACCAAATTACTGATGTGGCACGGCCCACTCTCAAGTGTTACTACCCTCTCTCATCCCCTCACCCCTCCTCTCATCTCCCCCTCCCCCCCCCCCCTCCCTCGTCCCCTCCTTCCCTGTAACTGCCCCTCCATTCCCTCACTCTGGGCCCCTCCTCTCGTCTTTATGCCCCTCTTTCCCTCTCTCAGCGCATCTCTCCCTTCCTCAGCCCCTCTTTCCCTCTCCCGGCCCCTCTTTCCCTCTCCCGGCCCCTCTTTCCCTCTCCCGGCCCCTCTTTCCCTCTCCCGGCCCCTCTTTCCCTCGCTCTGCCCCTGCTTCCCTCACTTTGCCCCCCTTTCCTTATCTTTGCCCTTCTTCCCCCTTTCTCAGTCCCTTATTTCCCATACACGGCCCCTTAATCCCTCCCTTGATCCCTTCAGCCTTACTGTCCCTCCTTCTCTGTGCGCAAGGCACACATATCCATTCACACTAGACTTACTCGCAAGAGACCTCCTCCATGCGCTCAAGCGTGGCATCGGTATGATACTCTGCCCAGATAAACTCCTTGTACCATTCCGACATGATCGTGACGGCATGTCGAATATCGGCGCGCTTGGGGAGGTCGATGATGAGGGGCAGCACTTGCATCATGGCACGGTGCTCCGACGCTGAGAAGCAGGCCGTCGTGGTGAAGTATGCCCATGCGGATGGGAGTCACAGCAGAGACGCAGGAGTCACTGCCTTGAGAATCTTGTAGCGTCCGCACGTACGGGATGCAATAAGGGCCGGTTTTGGGGGTGTGAGGCGGGTGGGGTGGGGAAGGGAGGGGGGCTGGGGAGGGTGGGGGGAGCGGGGGGGTTTAGTAGTTAGGTGCATCAGATCGCACCTCATCTCCCCGCTGTCTCTCTCTCAGTGCATCCCTTTCCGTCCTATGCCCCACTTTCCCATACTCTATGCCTCATCATTCCTCTCTCTGCCCTTCGTTCCCTCGCTCCGCCCCATGTTCTCCCCTCTCCGCCCCTCGTTCGCTTTCTCTTCCCCAATTTCCCTCTCACTGCCCCACTTGGTTTTGGAACAGCCGCAATCTCCCTTTCTCTCTGCCCAACCTTACCCCATCTCTGCCCCTCCTGCCTGCTCTCTCCCAGCAATCACTTCTGGCTGCCCCTCCTTCATCTCTCTGCCCCTCCCTCCCTGTCTGTCCCGAATTCCCTCTTTCTGCACCACTTCCCCCTCTCTCCACCCCGCATTCCTCCCTAGCTCTATACTTGACGCATTCCTCCATCGCTGCGACTAATTCCCTCTCTCTTCCCTACATTCCTCCTTATGTGCTCCCTCTCTACCCCGCATTACCTCCTCCTCTCAGTCTCTTTCCCTCTCTCTACCTGCCATTCCTCCTTAGCCCCTTATATTTCTCTCTTCCAGCGCCCTCCATTCCTGCTAGATACCCCTCATGGACTCTCTCTGCCCCTCCTACCCTCTCTCTATCCCGCATTCCCTCTCTCTACCCCTCCCTCCCTAACTCTCTCTGCCCCACTGTCCCCGTCCATTCCCCCTCCCTCGTTCCCACTTCACGCGCCTCCTCTCACTCTGCCTCGAAGTCACTTCTCTCTGCACCTCCTGCCTTCTTTGCCCCGCATTCGCTTATCGCTGCCCCCCCTTCCATCCATCTCCCCCTCCTTCCCTCAATGTGCCCCAAATTACCTATCTCTGACCATCTTCCCCTCTCTCTGCCCCAATACCCCTCTCTCTCTCTTTCTCTCTCTCTCTCTCTCTCTCTCTCTCTCTCTCTCTCTCTCTCTCTCTCTCTCTCTCTTTCTCTCTCTCTCTCTCTCTCTCTCTCTCTCTCTCTCTCACAGTCATTCCCTCTTCACGCTCCGCCTTCTCTCACTCTTCCCTGAACTCGCTTCTCTATGCCTTCCCCCTTCTCTTTGCCCTGCATTCACTTATATCTGCCCCTCCTTCCACCCCACCGCCCCTCCTTCCCTCCGACTGCCCCTCCTTCCATCTCCCTGCCCCGAATTCCCTCTCTCTGCCTAACTTCTCCTCACTCTGCCCCACTCTCTCTCTCTCTCTCTCTTAGTGCCACTTTCCCTCTCGCTGCCCCTCGTTCCCTCTCTCTGCATCTTTTTCCCCCTCGGTGCCCGTTTCTCTTGCACCTATGACTCTCGCCCAACTGGGTGAAAAGGGAAACTTACTCGAGAAGTATCTTTCGTTCAGAGGGTTTCAGTTTCTTCACGAGGCACCTCATTGCATGAAGCCAGAGCCCGGCCTCGATGATGTGCATGATGTCAGGTGTTTGGGCGAGGTACGTGTTGCCCCAATTGGTTTTGGAGAACTCCTAATCCCACAGCAATGACTGGCAGCAAGGGGAGGCACGCGGAATGAAAAAAAGGGGGCCTTAGGGATTTGGATAGAAAAGGGGGCCAAGAACGACTAGGGTGGGATTGTGGGCCAGGATTTAGGGTGGGCGGGGTATGGGGAGGGTAGGAGTGTGAGCTGGACGGACCGCAAGAATAGGGTGGGGGTGTGAGGATTCGATGGACGAGGGCGGGATCATGTGAGGTGTGGGAGCAAGCCTGTCCAAGGGTGGAACATGGCGAGGTTTCCACCTCCAGCACAAGATGGAGGGGCGGCGTGAGTTGGGGTGGAGGCATGGGTGTTGTGAGCGTGGGACTCACGAAGGAGCAGTGGGGACGGGATCAATTAATTTAGAACCAAGTGCGGTGGGAGGAGAATAGGGGTGGGACTATGGGACCACGGAGCCATACAAACGTACGCAAACAAGAACTGGTACCTTCACGAAGTGGGTCGAATACTTCTTCAGACGGGTCAATTCCTTCTTGGTTTCCGCTCCCTCCATTTTCTTGTACACTGCTTTCTGGTCCCGCACGGTGCGTGGAACGATATGGTCATCCACGTCCCGAAGATTATCTCTCGTGACCATGCAGATGGAGCAAGGCCGGTAGGAGCTACATGACATGGTGCACGAGACCTTGTTAGACTCGGGATGGTCGTTCACGACTGAGTACAACAGCGGGATGGCCACGTACTCAAACCCGTTGCTGTCCTCGACCTTCAAGCCCCCTCTGCGCGACCAAACATGGAGGCATGCCATGATGGTGGTTTTCGGTGAGGAAATCAGATTGAGAGCATGGAAGCAATGTTGCAAGGGGTTGTACGTTACGGAAACGAGACGAGTGGGAAACGGATAAGTGGATACTAACAATGCACGCCGAGTGGGGCAGCAATTCAAATATGCACTCCATATAACCGATCACGCAATACATGGCGGGGAGATTTCACAAGCGTATGATGCACAAAGCTATGACATGTGTGCATGCTTGTAGGTGATGAGTTTAAAGGAGCAGCGTACCCGCGGAGCTTGGAAAGGCGTTTCAGAGGCTGTAGCATGTATTCCGCCGCCAGTTGGAAGACCCTAATCTTCTCCTCTAGTTTCAGTTCGGAGGGGATGTTAGGGAAGAGCCCCACAAGCTCGGTGCCGCCGTCCAACCAACGCGCCCATTCCGGTGTGTTACCGAACGCCAGTACGAAAGGGTGAGCTTATTGTCTGCCATTGTTGGACAAGTTCGTCTGATCCGAATAGAGAATGATCGCCAGGACGATTGCACCGACTTTACGGACGCGGTCCTGTCAGGTGTGAGAGGATAGAGAATGGTTAGGTGAACTCGGGCGAAGGGGAAAGTGCACGGGCACAAAAAAGGGAGCACAGGGCGGGGATCAAAGTGAAAGCCAAGGGTTACAAAACAATCAAAGGGAGGCGAGCAAAGGGCGATGGGCAAAATACACGAGATTATCGACAGATACCAACACTCATGAGCTCATGATGGCAAAAGGCGGAGATTAGGGAGATTCTGGTCGAGAATAGAGAGGAAAGGGCGGGAGAGCAGAGAGCAAAGGGCGGGAGAGCAGAGAGCAAAGGGCGGGAGAGCAGAGAGCAAAGGGTGGGTGATCAGAGAGCAAAGGGCGGGAGAGCAGAGAGCAAAGGGCAAGAGAGCAGCTTCGCAAAGGGCGGGAGAGCAGAGTGCAAAGGGAGGGAGAGCAGAGAGCAAAGGGCGGGAGAGCAGAGAGCAAAGGGCGAGAGAGCAGCTTCGCAAAGGGCGGGAGAGCAGAGAGCAAAGGTCAGGAGATCAGGGAGCAAAAAGCAGGAGATCGGACAGAGACGGGCGCAGATTTGATAGC